TGCAAAGACAGATGTTCTTAATTGGCTCCAGTTGTAAGAAGAATTTCATCTAACAACTTTTTAAATATATGCAGATAAATGGACTCATAAATCTAATTATTGTTGTTCTGCTGTTTCTTCCATAAACATGTTCTTGGATCAGCAATTCTCAGTCAGTTGTGACATGCTAAGATATACATTTTATAGGGAGAGTACATGTGTTCCAATTATGTGGCTCTGGGCATCTTACATGTTTAAACAACAACAATAAACAAAATTCAAATAAAACAACACAAGCAGCATATTCATTGTCTGCTACTGTTGTTTCTGTCCTATTGTTTCTATCCATCTTAACTGATTTGACAGGAAGCACATGCTACAGGTACCATCAATTAGGCAGTGTGGCAAGGTTGAGAGGGAGAGATTTTTCTGCCCCCCTTTGGAGCATAATTATCTGGAACATCATTACCGAAATTACACAGATGCAATAGGTGGATTGATAAGTCTGGCACCAACACAAGGAGAGCTTTATCTCTCCTGTTCTTTTTTCACTTACTCCAATGTGATTACAGTGAAGTGAAAATTTAAATGGTGACAGTGAATAAGTCCTAGAGAAGCTTATTTTTCACATGGCCGCTTTCAGGACTATCACAGATGGGAAAAAGACATATTATCTTGCTGGTAATCCATTCAGAACTCAAGACTGCATGGGGGAAACTAATTCACTCGAGAAGAGTTATTTCTCTGGTTTGTTTGTCTAACATGCTACTCTCCATGACCCAATTAAGCAGGTCATGTAAACAAGATCAATGAATAATGGGGTGACTCTCAGGCTTCCATGTGGTTCAGCAACTTTAAAACTTTTCTTTCAGAACCAATACTGATTTATAAGCACCCTCCAGCCTAAGCATTTTATTAAGGCTTTTGCAGTCTGGTATGGGATTAAAATGACCTTTTTTTCATAAGAACACCTTAAACACTGTGATATCAACATTAGAAATGAATTCACAGCTATCCAGTTAGTCCAAAAAGTTGACTAATGGTACTTTCCAAAGATTCTTCAATGTTACCTGGACTCTTGAAAGATTATTGCTTATTATAAGGCTTTTCAAAAGCTTTAATATGCCAAAAGGTAGGTAAGAACATTTGGTAATGAGCAAAAAATTTGTGGGAAAAAAGAACTTTGAATCTTTGAAACTTTGAAGGATTAAGTAATCCATATGATCATGAAAGTAACATTTAGGGTAGCTTCCCATTAAAGTCTCAAGCAAGCATAAATGAAATTAGAAAGGAAAAGGAAAACTCATTATATTAAAGTCATGTATATTATAAATTCAATTTAGTCTTGGCTCTGCCAACCATAGTATACGAGTATTGCAAATTACTTAGAAAATTATTACCACCCAACTACTGATTGCTTAAGAATGTCCAATTTATGAGTGAAAACCAGAAATTAATATAACATGACTTGTAAAATTTAAAATTTCTTTTTTATTGTCAAAGTAAATATATTTTATGAAGAACAAAAGAAAAATATACAGAATTGTAACTTATGTACACTGGCTTTAAAGATATTATTTTGACTCTAATTTACATCATCTTTGTGTTTTTTTAAAAGATATTTTATATAGATATGCAATATGTACAATTTTATTTACATACATTCATAGGATGTGAGATAAAAACCAGTCAATAGGAGAGACATTCACATATATAGTATACAAATTTCCAGAGGACCAAAGGAATGCATTCCTAGCATAAAGAACTGGAACTATTGCTCTTAAATGACAACGTGGTCTCTGTTTTGACCTACTCAACCCAGAATTGCAGTGTTTTAATTCCCGTTTGGTTGACCTAAAAAGATAGGGCATGATGCTAAAATTCATTGCTACTGAGCTCCTCTGAAAGAAGAGAACTGATCACAGCTGTCCAATTGCTTTCAGTGAGATTGGTGAGATTGGCAACATGAGAGCTAGGACTGTACAGCACATTTAGTTTTGCGATTGAATTGACCAGTGGTGAAATTCAANACAAAGCTGCCTTGCCTGGCTCAAGATTTAAATAAGAAAAGCTAGGCTGTTCAGAAAAGCAGAGACAAAGGGCCTTTTGTACTTTTGTACTTTTCAGAGTGTTTCTTGTTCTAGTACCAATGAGATGTTGAAGGAGAACTCTGAGCTCTAAAACACATCAGGAAATGGGATCATCAATCTCTCGCACCTATCTGTTTCAGATCTCCTTCATTCTTCTGTTCAGCTCTGTGTTACCCTGGGGTTGCTCAGTGGGGGTGAGAAAGAAAGTGGGGCTGATATTAAGCCCAGAGAATGGTAACAAGAGTGGCTTTATTTATTTTTTCTATGGAGCCAAGAGGGTAAGGCACAAAAAGATGTCTCCAAATCCATTTCAGAAGCAGAATTCTGGGAGTTGAAGTCCACATATCTTAAGGTTGCTATGGTTGGATAATACTGAACTTATCTCTTCTGTCTATTTGCTCCTCTGCTGTTTTTGTTTCATCTCATACCTCTGAAAAAAATAGGTACCAAGCTAGAGAAGACTCAGTGTCATACTGAGGTATGCTAACATCTACCAAGCTTTCATTCATTACTTTTTTTCTAGAATTTATGCTGCAGTTTGGTTAAGGGCTCACTTGATGCTGGAACGCACAGACTTCTGATTCTGGAAAATGTAATGAGTTACTTCATTTAAGAAACCTTGGGACAGGGAATAAGAATTTAACTCTGGTGCAGTATCCTTATAGAAGGGCTGTAGCTCTGATCATGAGGAATTAAAATTTAACTTTCCAGAGACTGTATGGGGAGGGGTCATTTGTAATCTGAGAAATGTGGCCAATCAGTGCAGACTAGGGCATTATAACCTGGTATGTTTCAGTTATAATGCTTGATTATAACATGCCTAACCACATTGAAAGAGAACCAAATTATGCAAAGCTATTATAGATGGTGCTGTACTCAATGGACCAATGATAAGGTAGTCCTTAACTTACAACCACAACTGAGTCCAAAATTCCTGTAGCCAAGCAAAGANGAGCTCCTCTGAAAGAAGAGAACTGATCACAGCTGTCCAATTGCTTTCAGTGAGATTGGTGAGATTGGCAACATGAGAGCTAGGACTGTACAGCATATTTAGTTTTGCGATTGAATTGACCAGTGGTGAAATTCAAATTTTTTTTACTATCAGTTCTGTGGCCATGGCTTGGTGGGTGTGGCAAGGGAAGGAAATTTGAAAATCTCCATTCCCACCCAACTCCAGGGAAGGATACTACAAAATCCCCATTCTCTCCCCACTCCTTGGGAGAAGGATATTGCAAAGTCTTCATTCCCACCCCGCTCTGGGGCAAGCCAGAGGCGGTATTTGCTGGTTCTCCAAACTACTCAAAATTTCCACCACTGGTTTTCCAGAATCTGTCAGAACCTGCTGAATTTCACCCCTGGAATTTACCCATTAGGGCTTTGAACGATCATCTAAAGCTAAAACAGAACAAAAAGCTGCATTAAAAGCAATCCAAATTAAAATGTTGCACAAATACCGCCACAAGATCCTTAACTGATTTGTTATGCATGGTGTGTGATCATAGCCTATTTTTAAAAAATAGCCAACAACCCTACTTACGACATTCTCGTTTTCTAGAAACATCCTAAAATCAGTAGAGTACAAAATATATATATATAAAAGGAAATGTTGCCTAACATATTTTTTCCTGCTTCGTCAGATTATCTATGTGTTGTGTATATTCCCTTAAAAAAACATTAAAGGCCCTTGAGACAGCTACCATGCTAATTGGCTGGAACACCCAATGCTCCAATTGCATTGCTCTCTGAATAGTGGCCCAGAGGGGCACTGAGCTGAAATCTCTCAAAGTGCTTTCATAGAACATTCACTAAGTCTGAAGTCCTTCTTCCTCAGCTACTAGGAATATGGATTATGTTCAGTACTGTAAACAAGGGCAAATTGGCTCAGCAGTTTTTTTTCACCCTTAGTCTGGGAAGATGCAATATAAGCGGAGGCAAAAGGATTGGCAGTTAGAAACTAAGGGTAACATTCCAGAAGAGGTCACATAGATCTTTTTGCAGGAATGGTAGTTGATTAAGGCTGCCCGCAGACCCAAAGTCAATGGCACAGCAAGAAATTGACACAGGATTTCATGCAGCTATCCCATTTTCCCACAGCACAATCACGGGGGGTGGGGGGTGGAATGGGACAGGACATACTATCCATTGAATGACAAGCATCATTCCAAAAGAGGAACATGAGCCTTTCCGGTATTCAATAAAGAAACAGAGATGGCCACCCTTCCACCCTTATGATTTTGAACCATATCATAGTTAGAAAATGGTCATCGTGCAGGAAGGTTTGCCTGTTCATACAGTGGCTGCCAAGAGAGGAGATGGCCAGTCACCAAACACCCATTTAACAATACTCAAGATTGGGGAAATGACTTTCCACTATCACTACCTCAAGCCTCCTGAATATCCTCCACCTCCTCAGCTTATCCATCTTTTGCTAAGAGCACCTTCAAGTTCATATCAGATTATGAGACATTCTTGCATGGCTTCCCATGGTGGGGGTTGTGTGTGTGTGTGTGTGTGTGTGTGTGTGTGTGTGTGTGTGTGTGTATGTATGTATGTATGTATGTATGTATGTATATCAAGTTGAGTAGAGTCTGGAGCAATGGCCATCACATTCCTTACTTCTGAAAGTAGCACCATAGCTGTGTGACAGTTTGAACTTCATAGAAAAACTTCATTCATTTCCTCCACAGCACTGGTCAGCCAAATACACACGCACACATGCAAACACACACATATCAAATCCACAGCCTAACTTGGCTTCTTATACGGTAGGAACAGATTGTCCATGGCCAGATTTTGGCACTATGACATATAATGCAGGATTGATGTGCTCTACTACTAAAGAACCAAAAAAAAATTACTAGATAAATGATTTACGGTAATACATTAAATAGATAAATATTTGGCCTTCTTAACTACTGTGGTTGATAATTGTATCCATCTTTGGTATCAGTCTTTAATTATGCAAGCTTAATTGTTTAGAATGTTATCAGATTCTAGTTAGTACATGTGAGAGAATTGCTTTAGCTTGGTTTTCTCCAACTTGACTGTGATGTTTGGGGAATTCTGCAAGACAAATCCACTTATCCACTTGTCCAAGTTGAGAAGAACCAATTTTAGCCCCTTCTGTGTATCCAATCCAGAGGTTATGAATCTGAACAGTGCAAAATGGAGTATCCTGGGCAACAGGATACTTCTCTGAAATTTACCATAGTTTTTATACAACCTAAAGAAGGCTTGTGCCTAAATTGTGGGGCAACCCATGTAAAGCCATATCTCTGGGCTGAATGACTAAAGGTTATTATATTTTGGAAACAGAGGTGATTGGGTGAAAAGGCACGGATGCCTTATCCTAATTTATTTATCTCCTCCAGCCACGTGAGATATACTGTAACAGGCATTTTCAAACATACTAATCTTTACATGGGGCTAAGAACAAGGGAGAGTGGAGTCTGCCAGATCCAATGAAGCATCTTCTCAAAAGAGAGAGCTGGTAAGTCTGCAAATGGCAGCAACTGATAGGCTCAGATACGGTGTGCACTCAATCTGGAAAAATCTAGGGTTTATTCAGACTAGAATGATCATTTCATACACTGGTTTATTGCTTAGTCTAATCAAAGATCCTCCTGTTGGCAATCCCTTCTTTCTATACACAGACACACTCAGTCACACACATACACATATTGCTGACATGTTTCTTCTGTTCAGTCTCCTTTGAGAGCACCAATGGAGGTCTAACTAGTGAGCCCAACACCAAGTCATTGCATCAACAAAAACGAACTCATGAAAATGAAGCGGATTTCTTTTCCATTTCAAAAGGACATTGCTCTTTCCAAAGCGGACAAATAGGCCAACTTAATAATATGAATTATGCATTTTTAAAACAACCTCATGATGAATAGCCCTGTACATGAGCAAAAGCGCTCAGGAATGCCAGAACTGTAATTAACTAGCAGCAAGTTGTCCATATATTATCATGATGTTGGAGCTCAATTGACTGAAAATGAAATGCTGTAATTTTCAAAAAAAAAGTGGCAGCGGCAGCAACACAAAGAATTAGAAAAAAAATAGCAAAGTTGGTGAATGATGGGGGTGAGGAAGGCACATGTGATGTCCTAATGGCAGCGGTTACATGGAGAGAAATAAATTATCACAAGAAAGGAACAAATGCTGCTTGTGGCAGTTCTTAGAGGCATGATGGGAAGGACCGGACCGGACACATCAATTGACTGAGCGCACTGAACGGCTGCTTCGCGGAAATCGATGGACTTTGACGTGCTTGGACAGATGGTCACTCCGTGCAAACTTCTTCTCACACACAGGGCACTGATATGGTTTCACTCCCGAGTGGGAACGTCGATGTCGAGAAAGTTCATCTGATCGTGAGAACCTGGGAGCAGATAAGTAAAGATTATCAGTGTGATGCCTTCACCTTTAAGTGGTCATATAAAAACAGAAACAAGAATATTTAACATTATGATCATTCTTTCAAAGAAATAATCCTGAAGAATACTTCATTTTTCTTTTTATGGTCCTGTAATACCTTGAATAGGGGTAGAGTCAAGGTTACTGAATGGAGCTGAGCATTTACTGGTTGGATGCCCTGCCTGACACCTATGTGGAGGTTGCAGCAGATATTTACTCTTTGCGCTCCGATAGAGAACCATCTCTTGCTGCCTAAGATTGAACTCTCAGCCTTCTGAGTGTGCAGTGAGTGTCTTCATCTCTAGATCACACCACTCTGCTGAAGAATATTTCAATAATCCTGCCAAATAGATTATTTTTATTCATCAGGACATTTTTGGAAGGTAGTCAGGGAGACAATTGCCCCGAGATCCATATATGAAAAGAAAGTCAATGAACAATGGTTCAATATCTGAAACATTTTCACTTCAAAGTGAGTTATTTCAGAATCTTGGATTATCTCCACCCTCCTGTTTACTGGCCATGGCTTTCAATATACACAAATACTATGTATACACATACATACCAAAACACACAGAGAGAATGGCAATTATAAGAAATGCTATGAAAAGTAACTGGGCAGAGGCAGATCTCAAATGAATATTATGCTACTCACATCTTAATAAACCCATATTATGCATACATTATAGACTATAAAGCAGCAATTGTCCACTTTTTAGTATCCATTTGCTCCCACCTTCCCAAACAGTAACAGGCCAATCTATTTTATGGAAATATGGTTAAGGTTTCCCTGTCAGTTATGTCTGACTCTAGGCACAGTGCTCATTTCCATTTCTTGGCCAAGGGAGCCAGCATTGTCCGAAGACATTTTCCATGGTCATGTGTCCAGNATTGCTACCAGAATCTGCGTATTTTTCTGCAGAATGGGACCACATGCAAATTCAACACATTGTAAGTGGGAGAATGTAAAGGTGGCTCATTTGACCATTTCAAGCATCACACACAGAAATTATTTTCAAACCTTGAAGTGACCAGGGAAAGGTCAGCAATATCCTAAAAACTGTCTGCTATTGCTAAACTTGGCAGAACAATTTCCAAGAGTTTTTGGTGGTGATTGCTGCTGAGGGAGATAGGGAGGTAATATTGCTATCCTAGAGTTAAGTGATTAACAGAACACAAGTAGTTTTGGTGGCTTTTTTATTTTTATAAAATTGGATTTACAAAGAACAGGGCTGCCTGTTACAGAAAACCTTTTCCCTTGACCTGGTGTGCTTCCCTAGTAATTTACCATGCAATTCCTCAGTCAATTTTTTTGAGAGGAAAAGACCAATGATAGACAGGCTGTGTTTATGATGGGTTATGTTCCTTCACAAATGCCTCTGGGGAATGAAAAATAGCAAAAACAACAACTCCAAACCCAGAAGTATTTGCGGCAGAATTCTTTTACATCCTCATTTCTTTGCATGTTTGGCCTATTCTTAACTCCCATGCCTTCTTTTCCTGTTCCCCTTTTACTCCCCACTCTCTCCGCAGTCCAAAAGTCTTTAAACTCATCTTGTAAAGCAGTCCAAAGCTATGCCAAGTCAAGCCCAAGGTGAAACTGCAGTCAATTTGTATGATTTATATTGAGCCTAGCATTTGAGTAGAGGGGTTATTTTGGTCCACAGCACATACAGATCCATTTGTGTATTTTTCTCCACTTGTAAGTGACAGAGAACCAAGTGTAGGAATTGGCACAGATCCCAGTTGCTGGGTCTTTTTCTTTTTCCAGTGCACAACACACACTCTCTGCCGGCTGAATTGGTAGACCTGTGTTTGCCACTCCTTGGCACAATAATATTTGCAGAGCATTTGCCCTCCTTTGCTGCCATTGGGGACCCAACCATCTCTCTGTTTTCCATGCCGTGAGACCTGGGACACAGTGTCCATGGAAAAATAGCCCTCATGAAAGAGAGCAGGATCCAAAACAAGGCGACTACCTGACTGCCTTTCATACGACACTGAAAAAACTTGAAACCAGCCAACATACACTGAGTATTTATGTCTCTCTTACATTTTGTTACAGGATGGCTTATTAAATGCCTGGCATCAATTCAACATGTTTGCCTGATATTGTAGTTAGCATTCAGTGCCTTAGCCAAGGGTTCACTGCCTCGTTACATAAAATGGTCTTCAAAAGCAGCGATAGCAATCTGTTTATTGAAACTGATGAAGATCTTAGAATAATGACCTGGGGAGACAGAATTGCTGTGCCAGTGCCCTCCCCCAAAAGGAGCAGCAGATTATGTTAGCTTCTGCCCATTACTCACATGGTCGGGAATTCCCTTATTTAATGCCATGCCTGACCTGAATACTTTTATAGTACCAACTCTGGAAGGTGGCTACTTATTTTGGTAGCTACCAGAAAAGCTAGTGGAAACTCTGCATATTGTATATGGGCTGCAAAAATCCAAATGGCCACTTGGTGGCAGCAAATAGTTTGCTGTCTGCTGCAGAGTGGCCTTAATGAAGTGGCATTGCCATCAGAACCTGGCCAGTGAAAAACAAGATGATACCAGGACAGTTTGAAAAAAACATCTTACTGTAGAGTCTTCTTAAACCTGGGAGAAGGACAAACTCAATAATGGCAACCTATCCTAAGTGCTGCAGTTGGATGGGGAGCTTGGAACAGTCTGTGACATGTCATCTACTTCATCTTGTGAAGTATATCTCAGCAGTCATTCTAGACACATCCAAAATATATATCACCTAATGTACAACTGCAATTTAACGTATTTTAGCTGTGTGATTCGTTGATTCAACACCATTTATTTAGCGCCCCAGCTTAAATGACTCCAAGCAGTATTCAAGATCATAATATAACAATGCAAACACTCCAAAGCATAACTAGAAACTAGATAAATGTTGATTTAATTAGGCTGCAATCCTAAATACTGTAAGAAGTCATGCTAACTGAGAATAAGGCACATTCCTGAATACATTTGCATAACATTGAGCTTGGGATCAATAACTAATTACAGCTGCTGGAACATTTTGTTTCTAGAGGTGGAATGAATTTGAGATCATGAGAACTGAGAACTCATTACATAAGAGCTATTCTGAAATGTTTTCTGGCTTAGAGGGCATCTTAACAACAGTAAAAGAAAAGGTAACTTTCACAGAGATGACAAAACTGTGTATTATGCTAATCAATGCATTTCTGTTAATGTTTCACCTAAAGAAATAATGTTAGAGTAGAAATAACAAAGTATGTGCTTTTCTTCAAACACGTTTCCCTTTCCTTTTTGTGCTTCAACCCTATAGTATGTCTACTCAGAAATCTTACTAAAATTAAGCTGCTCCTGATGCTATTGGGTGTCAGATTGCNGCCTCTTGAAAAAGCACCTTTGGGACAACCATGATCTGGGATGACTGAGAATCTCCATAGACAAGGAATCTGTAGTTCACAAAGGGATAGGAAGCAATGATATTACTAAGTCCTATAGCATGCAGATTCATTTGCCACTGTTTTCCTTCTTCTTTTTTAGGTCAGCACACTTTCTGACATATCTAGTCCACAAGCCATTTTAAATGTTCCCTTCCTTTTGTTTTTGAAGAAGGACTACTGAGCTGATTGATTCGGGGTACTATTTCTGAATTCTAGTTAGCTTATAGTCTATATTTTCCCAAAGACAAGTATCCATAAATTCAAATACACAAGCAAATTTCAGGGCACAGAGTAGCTCGGGGATAAGGGAGGTGCACTTAAATTGGGGGGAGGATAGGAGAATCATATTGGGGTAAGATTTTTAAGGTGAGGGAGAATAAGGGTTGAAGGGAGTAGCTGTTGTTTAAACCATTAAGCTTATTACATATAAATTTCCACCTTTTCCATCTCAAAATGGTGGGACATTATGGCACAATTTTTGGCAGTTTTGGCGATCAAATTCTTTTTAGGGACAGACAGAATAGCTTCAGGGCTTCGTTTAGCCTTGAGATCTCAGTTTGCTCAACTCTACACAAATCCAACATTCTAACGCACAGCCAAAGTATCTGTAAAGGGGCCATATTAGTAAATATTCAACTACCATGTTCTGAGAGTCGTGGAAGCAGCCTACCACACCTACTAAAGTATTATTAAATATTTTGCACATCGTCTTGTACAAAGAATTGGTAGCAAAAAAAAAAAGATCCTGGGGAAATTCATATGTCCAAATGTTCTTTAAGGGAGTCCTTAAATTAGTCCCCAATCTCTAAGCTGGGGGTAGAAGGAAATTGTTCTGCCCCGTGGCAAATGGATATTTTTGGCATAAGGAATGAAAACAAAGTGAAACATGCAACAGATAATTCTCAGCACCTTTGCCAAGGCAACCTCATGTATTCTTGTTTCTGGGGACTTAGTTACATTTGTTTGTTTGTTTGTTTAATCTATCTATCTATCTATCATCTATCTATCTATCTATCTATCTATCTATCTATCTATCTATCTAATTTGTATCCTGCCTTTATTATTTTTACAAATAACTCAAGGTAGAAAACATACTTAATACTCCTTCTTCCTATTTCCCCCAAAATAACAACCCTGTGAGGTGGGTTGGGCTGAGAGAGAGATTGATTGATTGGCCCAAAGTCACTCAGCTGGCTTTCATGGCTAAAGTGGGACTTGAACTCACAATCTCCTGGCTTTTGGCCTTGTACCTTAAGCAGATCCCTCAGCCACCTAAGATTCAAGAGGCCTCTGTCTCTGTGTGGATACTCCAGAGGCAATGGTTGCCTAGGAAGTTCCAGAGTGATATACCAGAATAGCCCAAGCTTAGTAAATCAAACCTAGCTAAAGTTATCCATACCCCTGAAGTAGACCTGGCAGGATGCA